AAAAAAAATGGCAATCTACATCCAAAGAGCTATGATTTCTGTGCTAAAACTGAGAAATATGCAGTGATTGGTTTGCTAACTTCCTAGGGACATTTGCCAGGCATTTTGTGTAGAAAGTTTGAACAAGTGACCTTTGGTAGAAACGGGAGAGAATTCCCATTTAATTTGGAATTCTAATGCCTTTATGACTTCATCCTGCAGGCAAAAATGACAGTTACTGCCAGTTATCAGAGTGAAGAAACCTTCAAAGAGGGAAGTTGGTCTTCAAAGAGGCTCATGGACTCTGGGAAAACCTTCGCTCTTTTTGTCCTCAGCTATTAGAGAGGAAATGAGGCTGAAGGTGAGGGTTAGGATTACAGTTAGATTTACTGAGGGTAAGATTTAGATTTAGAGAGAGGGTTATCAGAGAGGTAAATGAGGGTGAGGGTTAGGATTACAAATGAGGGTTAGAATTAGAGTGAGGTTAAAGGTAAGGTTTAGGCTTAGGCTTAGAGGGAAGATTAGTTTAGAATGAGGGTGATGGTTGGAATTAGGGAGGGAAGACAGAGTGAGTAAGGGAGATGGATAGACAGGATTGAGAGGAGGAGGGAATGGGAATGGAGTGGATAAGGGGAGAGTGGGGGAAGGGGATGGAGAGGCAGGGGTTAAGTTAAGAAAGGATTGGAATAGGGAAGGGAAGGAGAGGAGAGATAAGTGGAAAGTGGAGGAGGGAACTGAGGGGAAGGGGAGGCAAAAGGGAGAAGAGGGGAGAAGGGGAAGGCAAGGTGTGTGTGTGTGTGTGTGTGTGTGTGTGTGTGTGTTGGGGGAGGGAGAAGAGGAGGGAGGAGTTGGAAGGGAATGAAAGATGGCCTTTCATCAGCTTGAGAATTCTAATGGCTTTATAACTTCATCCATGCAAGTTAAACTGTCTTTTACTGTCAGTTATCAGTTATCAGAGTGAAGATGCTTTAAAAGAGGTAAGCTGGTCTTCAAAGGGGCTCCAGGACTCTGGGAAACCTTCCCTCTTTTTGTAGGAAACTATCAGAGAGGAAATGAGGCTGAAGGGGAGGATTAGGATTACAGTTAGATTTACTGAGGGTAAGCTTTAGGTTTAGGGTGAGGATTAGTTTAGGATGAAGGTGAGGGTTGGCATTAAGGATTAGGAGAGACAGAGTGAATATGAGAGAGGGGGGAGATGGATAGAAATAGGAAACAGGATTGGAAAGGGGAAGGGGAAGATAGACTGTGGGTTCAGGGAGACGAAGGGAATGGGAGAGATTACGTTAAAAAGGAGAGGGATAGGAAAGGGAAGGAGAGGAGAGGAGAGGAGAGAAGAGGAGAGGAGAAGAGAAGAGAAGAGAAGAGAAGAGAAGAGAAGAGAAGAGAAGAGAAGAGAAGAGAAGAGAAGAGCATGACTACGTGGTGGAGGAGGGAATTGAGGGCGGGGGAACTGCAATCAGAAGGAAATTGAGGGAAGGTGGGGGGAAAAGTGACAAGAGGGAACAGGGGGAAGGCAAGGTGTATGTGTGTGTGTGTGTGTGTGTGTGTGTGTGTGTGTAAGGGGAAAGGAGTAGGGGAGGGAGAAGGAGAGAAATTGGAAGGGGAGGGGAAGAATGGTTTTCATCAGCTTGGGAATCCTATTGCCTTTATGACTTCATCCATACAGTTAAACTGTCAGTTACTGTCAGTTATCACTTAGCAGAGTGAAGATTCCTTTCAAGAGACAAGTTTGTCTGGACGTTCTAGCAGAGAAGTGCAGCTATCATATACCGTTGACCCTTGACCAAAGATCACTATACTCCTTCTATTTGGGATGGTCCTCCTCCTCCACTGACTTCACAGTTTTGGGAGGGATGAAAGGGGAGCTGTGAGGGAAGAAGGGAACACCCACTTAGCCAGCCAGGAGGTTCTAACAGAGGAGCGCAGCTATCGTATACCTTTGACCCTTGACTGAAGATCGCTATACTCCTATATGGGATGGACCTCTTCCACTGAAGGAGGATGATGGGGAAGGAAGGGAGAGGGAAGGAGAGGGAGGGGGACAATTATAAAAGTGAATATCCTTCCAAGAGGCATTTTGTCTATAGGTTCTAGCAGAGGAGCACAGCTATCATATACTCTTGACCCTTCACTGAAGATCGCTATACTTCTATCTGGGATGGGTCTCTTCCACTGAGCATGCAGCTTTGGGAGGGACAAATGTGGAGCAGGAGGGAGGCAGGAGATACTCATTTGGTCAGCCAGATCAGCTGAATCAACCCTGGTGATCCATGAGGTGACAGTTGTTGTAGCCATATTGGGAGATGATGGGGAAGGAGGGAGATGGGAAGGAGAGGGAAGGGGACAATTATCAAAGTAAACATCCCTTCCAAGAGGCATATTTGTCTGGAGGTTCTAGCAGAGGAGCGCAGCTATCGTATACCCTTGACCAAAGATCGCTATATTCCTATCTGGAATGGACCTCTTCCACTGAGCATGCAGCTTTGGAAGGGACAAAATGGAGCAGGAAGGAGGAAGGGGACACCCACTTGGCCAGCCAGATCAGCTGAATCAACCCTGGTGATCATTGGGGTGACAGATGTTGCAGCCATATTGGGGGTGATGGGGAAGGAGGAGAGAAGGGAAGGAGAGGGAGGGGAACAATTATCACAGTGAAGATCCCTTCCAAGAGGCATGTGTGTCTGGAGGTTCTAGCAGATGAGTGCAGCTATCGTATATCCTTGACTCTTGACCGAAGATCGCCAAACTCCTATCTGGGACAGACCTTTTCTACTGAGCATGCAGTTTGGAATGGACAAAATGGAGCAGGAGGGAGGAAGGAGACACCACCCTAGCCAGCCAGATCAGCCGAATCAACCCTGGAAATCAATGGGGTGACACATGTTGCAGCCATATAGGGGGATGATCGGGAAGGAGGGGAAAGGGGATGAAAAGGGAGGGGGACAGTGAGGGGGATGGGGAAGAAAAGAGGGATGGAAAGGGAGGGGGAGAGGGAGGGATAGATGGTGGGGATGGGGTAGAAAGGGGAAAATGAGGGGAGGAGAAGAGTGAAGCCAGATTGGAGGAAAATGGGGAAGGAGGGGATAGAGAATGAGAGGGGAGGGGGACAGTGAGTGTGGAGAGGGTTGCCTTTCGCTTGCGTAGAACTTGCTGGAATCATGTCTCCTTCATCCTGCCTTGAATCCTCTGAAGCCAAGTTGCCTTTACCATGCCTTGGACCTGCTGGAGTCATGTCACCTTTGTGTCTTGAATTCATCAAAGCCAAGTTGCCTTCATCTTGCCTTGAACCTGCTGGAGTCATGTCACCTTGCTGTTCTTTGAAGCAGCTGAAACCCGGAGCATTGTGGGGGCTGTCTTCTTGCCAGTATTGTTTCTGGGACAACGGTGCAGAAGAGACTATGGCATGTTTTGTTCCTGTTGCCTTTGTTCTGACTCAATCACTTTCAGTGGAATTAAAAATACTGCCCATTTGAACCTGCAACCTGGAGAACAACTATGGAGTTGGTTGTGTGAAATAAACACACTTATTCTACTTGTACTGTGTTTGTGTGTGTGCGTGGAGTGGGGCAGGGCAGAGAGATTCTTAGACACTCTGCATGATCTCCATCTTGTCACTAGATGTCCCTTCACCAGCTGTTACCTGAGAACTGGTAGTTAGTTAACAAAACAAGTGTCATTTGCTCTTGCAGGGGACAACAGAGAGGACCTTGTAGAAAGTATATAACAGACATCAAAATATACATCTATTTTTACCATCCATAGTCAACCTCCTAATATTGTTCTGCAATTATTACAATAGGATGCTGTTTGCATTAATATAAAGTAAAGGTAAAGTTTCCCCTGTCCAGTTGTATCCAACTCTTGGGGGCGGTGCTCATCGCCATTTCTTAGCTGAGGGAACCAGCATTGTCTGAAGATGCTTCTGCAATCAACACGTAATGCTGTTACCTTCTCACCAAAGTGGTACCTATTTACCTACTCACATTTTGCATGTGTTTGACTACTAGATGGCAGGAACTGGGGAAAGTAACAGGAGCTCGCTCTGTTGCATAGCTCTTGGGTCTTGAACCTGGGCTGGAATAAGCTCAGCATCTTTAACTATTGAGCCATCATGCTCCCTTATTAATGCAGTATCATTATAACTATTAATATGGTACAGCAAAGGCTATAAAATATAGAATATTGAAACATTGTCAGGCTAATTACTTTAGCAATGAATAACACAGGCTTTCATATTTGGCCTTGTTTGATTCTTTTTCTTCTTAGTTCACATGTCTTAAGTGAAACAAAATGGGCCTAAAGAGAAAAAGGGGGCAATCTTCACAAAAAAGCTGGTCTGTTGCATTTACCAGTGAGGTTATCATACACTTCCAGGTACACCACTGAAACATTGAATTTAAGGAGCGAGACAGATCTCCCCATTTAAATCAGAGGGCAGATGCAGGATCTTATCTAGAATGATCCACTTGTGTTTCAACTCAACTCTAAGAAATTTATCTGTCAAACTCTTTTGGTTTTGGTTTACTGCCAAGGTCAGATAATTATCAACATCCAATCAGATCATACTAGTGTGGAAATTGGTGTGGCATTTGATTGACTTCAGCAAAACACTGCTTTAATGATTATTAATTCAGGGAATTAAGAAATCTCAAAGAAGATGTGAAAGGAAATTAATTTGACATTTCCATTGGGTGACAAGTAAACTTACAGTTTTTGTTTAGCAATTTGTTTTAATGTACTTCTAAGCTATCTTCAGGTTTACTAGAAGGTGCAACTGTCATTTCAGAGAAATGTGATTATTTCTAATAATATTACCAATACTTTTCTATAGATGGGTGGAATGATTTAACCATCATAGACTCTAGAAATATTTAATGGGCTCAAGTCTTGGAACATACTACTATTAATGATAACATAGACTGAATGATCATTATCATATAATAATACAATAATAATTACAATATAATTATATCATTATGTAAAAGATAATAATTATTATTATTTAGTAATAAATGGTATACCTGTGTGTTGAAAAATCCAGCTTCCAGTGAATTTTCTAGATTCTGGCATGTTTTGGGAATTCTTTACGTTCTTATGTAATGCCCTATAACCATACAGCATGGCAACCAATGGAGAAACATTTGAAGTGAAAGGCTCAGTGAACTGTAGATTCATTTTAGATTACCCTGTTCAGTGAGTTTGAAGTGGTTTCATATATTAAGACTTGAGTACATGAGTTTCAGCTTTGGATCCAGATAAGCAATAATCAGCTATACCAGAAGGAATACGTATTCAGAAGCATTCAGACCTAAAGATTTAAGACAACAGTTGTGATCAAGTGGAAAATATGAGAGATAGAGTTAAAGACAGATCATACTATAGCAATGGAAAGTAAAAAGAGGGAGCTTGATAGAAAACTCATATCAGAATGTTTCCTAAAGCCCTACTTATTTGCAAAGGGTAACAAGCTAGCTATCTCACATCCACAGTTACATCTTTAGCTGTTTTCCTACGGTGAACCTGCCTGCCCACTGTATCCCCAGCAAAAGGAGAAAGACAAGGAAGTTTTGAAAATGAAAGCAAAAGGTGGGAGAGACAGATGGTCAATGACTATTAGGAGCAACAGCAACAACTGCAAATCAACAGTTTTGGCTCTTTCCCTTCCTCTTTCTTAATGCAGATACAAGCCTACTATTGAAAAGATGGTCATTGTAGATAAGTCAAGCAGGTATTCTAATTTGAAAAAGCCCTACTCTATGTTATTTTACTATGTATTTAATATGAATCTTCTATTTTATAAAGGAGAGAGAGCATGGTACATATAAATCCAGTTGGTTGTAACATAGAAGAAAAGCATTTTGTTTACCTGGAAAAGCACTGCAGGTGTGAATTCAGTTCTTTATAGTATAGAAAGAGTATTTTAAGAGACTAAGTGTGCATTCAGTTGGCATTTTAACTGAAATGGTCTAAAGTAAGAATCCATGAACTTTAGCTTTTTTAATGTCCCCAGTATGGTATTTTAACCCTGTATTCAATACCATAACACTAGAAAACACCAAAAATGCATGTTTGTCATATCATTTCTTCCATTCCTCTTCTGCTGCCACAAAGACATGTTCAAAAGTTTATCTGAGCTCATTGTGAGCTGTGTTCATTTCCTACCGTTGTTGTTCCCTGGTAATTGTTACCACCTCCTATTGCCTTGTATAATCAGAAGATAAACATAATGAAGCAATATCCCACAAGGACATGTGGTGTATATATTTGCAAAGAGAAGAGTTAGTCATTAAAATGGACACAAAGAGACCTGGACATATTTGGGAGGGGAAAAAAAGAGTTGAGCTCATAGCTACTAATCAGACACAAGTCTAACAGCCTCTGTCCTAAGGAGAGGAGCTGATATGTTAATTAAAAAGGAAACCCATAACCAAATGAAAGTTCTATTAGGAAGGATCTATTCAGAAAGAATTAAAATAAATTTTAGACATATTTAGAAAGATTTAACATATATTGTTAAGAAACCATAGGTTTTTTTAATATGGTGAGATAATATGGTTGATCTACTGCAAAGGAATCTTGGCTATAACACCAATAGAGAAAACACACCAAACACAGGATCAGACAGATTTGAAGGTTGCAATGAATGGAGCTGGTTCTGAAACAAAAATAGAACTCCAGTAGGTGCTCTGCTTTTTCCCTAGCAGTTGAAGCCCCAGTCTCCTGATAAATATGTACAAATATGATGAATCTTCAGAGACAGTCAAATTGCTGTGTAATGGAAACTTACTGCGTAGTCAAACAAGCTTGCCAAAGAAACTGCAATGGGTGAGAACCAGGAAAGGGTAGCATAAAGGGAGGATGTAAGATAAACATGGAGGCAAAAATTAGCTGAGTCTTAGAGTGGGAAAAGGAAGAATACAAGCTATAAAAACAGCTGTAAGAGGAAATGGCTAGCCAGGGAAAATTAGCTGAATGGAATAACAGGAAAACTAGGTGAATGAGATAATAGGAAAGGCATACTGAACTGAAAAACAGGAAAGAACCTATTGTACTGAGTCCATAAAATATCCACAGAGCTCAAAACAACCATTTTAATATGTCTAATATTTTATATTATTAGTGTACATGTGCATATGATTTAGTATGTTTAAGGAAAGTAGCAGGAAATATATAGGAAGTGGTCGGAAAGAGTGTAACCTCATAGTATCTTAGCCAACGGGGAACAAGGAAGGATGTGGTGGCCAGGACAGGGTTGTATAAAGAAGGGAATATTTTGGGTTGGAACTTTGAAGAGAACCAAGCTTTGAAAGCTTCTCTTCCACTTATTGAAATAAACAAAACAAAAGGCCTTCACTGTATCTTGGCTGGTTATTGGTCAGGTGAGCTTGCCTCTGGTCATGAAGGAAAGTAGCTTGGAGCACATAACACTCCCAACCTGAGAATTGTAGCTGCACTTAACTATGGGTGAGCCTGAAACAACTGTGTACTATCACTTTTCTACAAAGTTGAGGAAAATACTTTCAATCCAACTGGCTTTTCTGCCTAGGGGAAGACTTAAATCTAGGTCCCCCCAATCCTAGTCCAGCAGTTTAAGTATTACACTGTTGTATGTGTTCCAAGAGATTTTTATCATCTCCCTGTGAATATTAATGGTGCTTGGGCCAAAATCCACTATTCGTTGCTATTTTCAAACTATACAAGAGTTGGACTTCTATTTGCTAGTCAAGTCCATGAAAAATCTATTGTATGATCTGATGAATATCTTTTATATTAAGAACCATTTAGATATAAGAGAGTTTTCTGCAGATCACTGTGTGTTGAAAGAAAGAAACTATGGGTCAGAATTATTAGTATTCTTCAATGTGAAGCTTTGAACCTTGGTTTTCCTGACATGGTATTCCCACAATATTATTCAGATAGATATAGAATTTATATATTTGAACTAATTAAAATTCAGAGCAGCTGAACACATGAACAAATGATACAAAAAGAGGTCTGCAGAATTGGTGTTAAATTGGTATGGTTCCTAATCCTTAGTTCCTCCCCACACCACCACCATTTGAAGTATAGGCACTGTGGCATCTCATGTCCATTGACTGTCCTTTTTCTTACTGAAGTCAAGGTGACTTGGTGCCTACCCACCATTTTGCCACAAATGCACTGAAGCAATAATGAGGACATGAATGGGGTCTGGCTTAAAGCTAGTTTGGGGGCTTCCCCACAGATGTACCAAAGGGAGTCCATTTTAACTCATTGGAAATGTGGAGAACTATGAGAGTGGTAACAAGGAATCCTTTTACACGACATTATTAAAACGCTTTAAATAGTATAGTATAATACTGTAGTATCGAAAGCAGCAGTTGTGAAGGTGTTTTGTATTGTATATTACTTGCAATATTTCTACAAAATGTATTTGCTAGATGATAATGGACAAAGGTGATGTTCCCTGACATTTCCTGTGATATAGTCTGTTGATTACTAATGCTGGTAGTAAAGGTTTTTATATTGTCATGCAGTGATTATGGCAGCAGTTACTTGCTTGGATGTTTTCTGGGATTATTCATTAATATCCCTACAATTTCTTGCCCACATAGTTGGTATTCAGAGTCTAAAGCAGAATCTTAACCTTAAATTTAGCAGTAATTAAAAACTAAATTGGATTCTCCTTTTTTTCCCAGTTTGCAGTTGTCACAATAAGCAAGGCTGTCTATGAAAAGGTTTCAAGCACATCTCCCCAACAATGAGTAGGATTATTATATTTCTATCTAAGTCAGATGGAAAATGTGCCTATCCAATATGCTGTGCTATAATGTCATGCCCTCCCTCCCAAAAAGGAGCCATATCATCATGAGACACCAGACAACATATAGGAGAATGATAAGAATTATCAGTTTGATTCATGACTCCTAAATCTGGTGAGTATAGATTTAATTTAGCAATATTCACTCTGTTGGTTATGATGCTGATGATGATGATGATGATGATGATGATGATGATGATGGTTGGTTGGTTGCATAGTCAGCCAGATGTTTAGCCTGGATTTAGTATTTTTATCCTTCTATAAAGAAGTTCCCAAGAACATGGGAGAGGCAGATGCTATTTGATGGTGTAAAGCATAACATCTACAGGTCGTAAGCTTTTCTAAGTAAAACTGTCATTCAGAATTAACTGATGGTGATTTGTCAATGCTGATGATGCCCAAGCACTACTCCAAATGCTTTGAGATTGCATTCAAGGTGCCTATTATTATGGGTACTATCTTTGCTTTCTTTTGCCACAGTTGTTCTACTTCTACTTGCATTTCTTTGCATTTTATGATTTACTCCAGTTATTTCTCTTATGTTCTGCTATTTCTGGGTACTGCCATGTCCATTATCCAGACTTTGTCTTTCTTATCATCAATTATTATTATTTCAAATTAATATTTGTCCAAGTGGGGATGGGAGGGAGGAAATCAAAGATGCATAGCTATAAAAGAGATTTGTCTCTGCATTACTAACACACTTATCCATTCAAATAATTTTGCCTTTCTTTTTTTTTCAAAGTCTGCATTGGTATGCAGGAATAGTGACTTGAAGAGTAAAAATATTGCAGCTGACATTGAAAATTAAAAGTAAAGAGATATGTTGAAATCTGTTTATCTCCCCCCCTCCAGTGTGTGATATGTTTCAGCTTTCAATTATTTCCCATTTAAGGCTTCCAGAATTCTCAGTTAAAAAATACCTACTGAAATTGCTACCTCTGAAAGAAAGAACAAGAGGGCATACAATTTCAGGCTATTATAAATCATGCAACAAACAATAGTCACTCCTAATGGAATGCAAGAATGGTTGACAACCTTCTCTTATGATATAAGCTCTACATTTCAACTTAGGGCCAAATATGTAATGTAATCAAGTTTCTTTCTAAAGTCTGAAAGTTGTTGGTACCTGGTAGAGAAGAACAAGTTTAAATTGAAGAAGATGGAATAGCTGAGAGTCACAAAACCATCCAATTCCAAGAATAGTCTATCTTTAATTTTTGGCAGAATTACACCACCCATTCCAAGCCCATTCGTTCTTCTTGATCTAACTAGATTATTATTTTTAATTTAATTATATATTTTTTAATTCTTAACTTTAAGAAAGTACTGAATATAATCAAAGTATTCAGATACACACAATAACAAAGTAATCAATTTCATTTTAGCTGAAGGAGTTGTAGGAACATTTCCGTTTGCCTATATAACATCTGCCTGCTTCTTCATGGTGCAGGAACTGCATATCTTCAGGGCTGCATTCTCTCAACTGATTATGCTCATTTGATAATGTCAGATAGAATGTCAGGAG